TATATATATCACAAAAAATATAGTTTTAAGGTATGATATATTTATGAGTAAATATATATATATATATATATATATATATATATATTATTGTACACTGCATATATGCTATGGGTAAATAGCAGGACAGACGGGGTTCTATAGCCTTGGGTGGCAACTGGTCTAGAAGGACAACTCTGAATTCAAAACCTGCGGAGGGTCGTTTGGGGACCTTGTGGCACTTAGTGCACCAGGTCTCTGTATTCGGCCCTTCAAAAAGTGTGGATGGTCCCGCACGAAACCTTCACCACTATAATCGAATCTCATGTGTTGTTGTCCGGCTGGCGGTTTCCTAGGAACTGATCTGCTTGACCCTCATACATCGAATTCGACAGGAGAGTCGAGTATATATATATATATATATATATACAATACAATAGGATTGATGTATATGGAATAAATTCCAATAACCAACAAATACTATTCTTAAAAGAGTGCTCAATTCAGAGCAGAGCAAATATAATTAAATTACTCGAAAATTATAACATAAATATGTTATAAAATCACTACAAAAATAGCCATTTGTTTCAACACCTCTAGAATTTTTCAAACAAACCAAATATTTGAAACAAAATGGCTATTTACAAAATAATTTGAGTAATTAATTATATATATATATATATATATATATATATATATATATATATATATATATATATACCGGTTGCAATGTATAAATTGTCGCCATTTTATATCTTTATAATTTCACGAATACGCGTTTTTTGGGGTTTTTTTTTTCATTTTGATCACTGGACATTGTAGTAGGCTCAATTCTCTCCGCCAGAAATTTGGAACGGCATGTTGTACTGCTTGACATTCGTTTCAGAAGCTCCAGTACGAATATTTCAGATAGTACGAATATCTCAGATATATATATATATATATATATATATATATATATATATATATATATATAATTATTTATTCAAAAATCATAACATAAACATGTTATAAAATCACTACAAAAATAGTCATTTTGTTTCAACACCTCTGGTGTCTTATCAAGAGTTGAATGAATCTCATGGTGATTATGAAGGTACAGCATCTTGGAAAACTCACTTTGAGTCTTCTGATAATAAAAGAACTTGCAAATTTGTTGTTGATGTCTTTAGACTGAACACATAGACCTACATCTAGTGCCTTGAGAAGATAGTGATGCCCTGGGTCAACAGAGTGGCTGCTGGAAGACTCCGTGTATGACTACAGGACTCTGTACCATATCACACAAGCAGGAGAACACAGACATGGCTGTCAAAAGATTTCTGTGACCACATCACCCATTAAATCTGGCCACCTAACTCCCCAGACTGCTGCCCCCCCTGATTATTATATGTGTGACGCAGTTCAGCGATAGACCAACAATACTCCTTGTAACATCAAATATGAAGAGAAGACAAGAATTATGGCAGCATTCACCAATTTAAACACGGAGTCCATCTAAAAGAGTTGCAGCAGATTTCGAAGTCGTCTGGGATTTACTCTTTAGTATTTCAAGATATTTTTGTTTAATTTTGGTAAATATAGCTGTTAAAATGAGATGTCATTGTTATTTTCAATTTTTATCCATCGCACTCAGTATGTATTGACAGTGTCTTTTTATCAAATATATTATTTTATTTAATTTTTTAAATTTGTAGATTAGGTTATTTTGTGTCATATGCTAAATTTTCCAAAATTCATATTTTATATAGTTTTTTTCTTTCTATTTTCGAACATTCGTTTTTCATGGTTTATTCTGTCTATATTTATGCAAATACTTTTTTCTTTTGTTTTCATTTTCGGTGTTTTACACTTTTGAAAGAACCAATTTCACGTTGACGTTAAGATGACTTTATTTAAACGGTCAAATTTTTTTAAAAACTTACTTTAATATATGCAGACAGATACCCTATTTAATGCTGGCTGCTTCTCCTTTATTACAACAGAATCCGGACTGTCTATCTATGGATAGATAGATACATCATGAACAGACTGAGATAGATAGATAGATAGATAGATAGATAGATAGATAGATAGATAGATAGATAGATAGATAAGGAATAGACAATAAATGATAGATAGATAGATAGATAGATAGATAGATAGATAGATAGATAGATAGATAAGGAATAGACAATAAATGATAGATAGATAGATAGATAGATAGATAGATAGATAGATAGATAGATAGATAGATAGATCATACACAGGTCATACACAAACAGACAAACAGATCATAGATATAGATAGATAGATCATAGCTTGCTAGCTAGCTAGATAGATTTATTTTATATTGTTTTCTTCCTGAGTACTTTCGAATGTTACTACATTCATTTTCAGGATTTGTTGTGGGTCTATTTACGCAACTGCTTTTTTTCCCCTTTATAAGTTTTCACTTATGAAGGAACCGATTTCAACGTTGATGTCAAGATGACTTTATTTAACATTTTAAAACACACTTCAATATATGCAGACAGACGCCTTATTTAATATTGGCTGCTTATTACAACAGAGTCTAGACTATCTATGTATGGATAGATAGATACATCATGAACAGACTGAGACTGATAGATAGATAGATAGATAGATAGATAGATAGATAGATAGATATGAACAGGCTGGGAGATAGATAGATAGATAGATAGATAGATAGATAGATAGATATGAACAGGCTGGGAGATAGATAGATAGATAGATAGATAGATAGATAGATAGATAGATAGATAGATAGATTTTATATTGTTTTCTTCCCGAGTACTTTCGAATGTTACTACATTCGTTTTCAGGGGTTATTCCGTGCATATTTACGCAAATGTTTTTTCTTTTTCGTTTCAGCGTCTTCACTTTTGATGGAACCAATTTCATGTCATTCATGATGACGTCATATAAACTATCAAACAAGAGTCTCCAAAACTTGATGTCTTTCTTTCTTCTGTACTTTGTATAAAATAGATCTCTCTATTCTCTTGTCTCCTAATCTCGTATACGAAATTACTACACAAGTGCAAGGCATCTGTTCAGTATTTTCAATAATTTACCCAGAAACAATAATACATTACCATGGACAGCGAATTATCTCTGTAGTGGCTAAATGAGAACTGCTTCGACTTGGAGATATTAAAATTTACAAGCCATTTCCTTCTCCAGTTAACCACAGATAGGTCCTTTTCGAGAGCAACGGCCATGTTGACTTACAAATATTCGATGAGTTATGTACAGACTGAACAACAGAAATTGTTAAAACAACCCAAAGTGTATTCAGAGGTCATAACGTGTAAAACTTCGACCTAAGCGCATGAATTTACTATATTTGCACGCGCGGGCGTACACGCACTCAGGGATAGACACATACATATATATCATGTGGAACTAATAACTGTTTTCACCCCCCCGCACATTCAATTCGTTCCATGTAGGCATCAAGATAGTGATATCTAAGATTTGCTTTGGGATTCAGGCAAAAGTTTAAAAACTTCAACAAAAGAACCCTTTCCAAATTCAACTTCTTTTTGCCTGCTTGTCTCAGGTGTTAATATATATCTCTAGAACTATCTGTCTATGACTGTTTATATCGATCTATCTAAATTTGTTGATATTTGTCCGAGTATGTTCATATCTATCTATCCATCTATATATTTATTACATTCTTTTTTTTCTATCTATCTATCTATCTATCTATCTATCTATCTATCTATCTATCTCGAAATATATATATATATATATATATATATATATATATATATATATATATATATAGGGAGAGTGAGAAACAGAAATTCTCGATAACTTAAAAAAGAACCAATTATAGTATTTTTGGTCTTGCATATAAATACTTCTTACTAAATAAAATCTTGATATTTGCCTTGATAAAATCCCTCAGAGGACAAAACGCGTCGGCTAATATAAGATCTCTCTCTCTCTCTCTCTCTCTCTCTATCTATCTATCTATCTATATATATATATATATATATATATATATGATGAAATATTAAAGAAAGATTTTTTAAAATTTTAAGGTATGGTATTATTTATGAGATGAAGTGCTCAGTATCAGAGATAGAACGCATGTAAATATAAAAGTGAACAGTGATGTCAAATGTTTTGCTTCAAAATTTCTTTTCTTTCTTCATCTTTTCACTACGTCCGTCCTTTATTTCTTTTTTTCTTTCAAATCATTAAATTTGTTCATATCTCTCTTAGTATGTTCATATCTATATATATATATATATATATATATATATATATATATATATATATATATATATATATATATGTGTGTATAAGTCCGCAGGTATGCAGAAAATAGAAAAGAACACGTTGGGTGCATAATCCGGAGTTCCTTAGTATTATTGTTTTTATTTTTAAGACAGTGCTCCATACAGAAGTAGGGCTTTATTATAATAATTTTTTGTTTAAAAATATGATTCCTTCACTATATAAAAGTTCTCATGTTTCAAAAACGGGAGCCGAAACCATCCAAATAATTATTAAAATTTCGCTTGAAGATGAAACGGGACTAAACACCTCAATTCAACTTAATTTTAATAATTATTTGGATGGTTTCGGCTCTCGTTTTTGAAACATGAGAACTCTTATGTAGCGAAGGAATCATATTTTTAAACAAAAAATATTATAATATATATATATATATATATATATATTCATATCATCACATTGTATTAATATGTTTTCATTCTACATGCGTATGTGTTTTTAGTGCAAAAATGTTATACGTAACTCATTGTTATATATATATATATATATATACATATATATATATGGGGGGGTGTTTGTGTGTATGTGTATCTATGTATGTGTGGGTGGGTCTATAGTGAGAGAATGAGCTAGAGATACAGGAAAAGAGGAATATATCTCTCCTAAGATAATACATATTTAACCATATTAGGAAATATCTATATGTGTGTGTAACCCTGCATTTTGCTTCAAAATGTATTTATTTCTTCTTTTCACTACGTTATTCCTTTATGTTTCTTTCTTGGTTCCATACTTTTCTTAATCAGATTTTTGCTGTTTCTATTTTGCTACGTTCTTTCTTTCTTTCTTTCTTTCTTTCTTTCTTTCTTTCTTTCTTTCTTTCTTTACTAGAAAAAGTCCCCTTCCTTTTTATCAGTTTGTTTTTTTCACCTTCCCTTCCTTCTGTTTCTTTTCTTTCCTTGTCCCCACAGATCGAACCGTCTATATTTCATGATTACCCACAACTTCCGGTGCCAGCCTCATTTCCGCCTACTTTCCTCCTGAGTTCTCGCCTTTATTTGTCAATACGAACATAAAATATGTTTCGTGGCACGCCATGTGCAAAGGTTATATTGTATAGAAAATTAATGGCATGGCCCCACAAAATTTTAGGGTGCAAAAGACTTTTGCTCCTGCCCATCCAGAATATGCAGAAAAATAAAACGTAACCGTAGAGGGATTTTATGGTTCTCTTAAAAAAAAAAAAACTATCAGCTTAATTGCATCTGCGTACTGGTTTATAAATATAACATATGCGCAAATGTATTTAAAGAGGCGGATATGCAATATAATTGGCCCTGATCTGGCATCTCGTCTACAGTCACTTTCTCACAGACGCGCCGTCGCCTCTCTCTGTCTTTTTTACAAATACTTTCATGGCAATTGCTCCGAGGAGCTGCATTCGCTGGTTCCCAGACTTCATGAGTTCAAGCGCCCGACGAGGCTGGCATCCCGCTCTCACCCTTTCATTGTCGAAACTCCTAAATGTAGCCGTCTCTTCTACTCTAATAGCTTCATGTCTCGCACCTCTCGCCTGTGGAGCTCCCTTCCCTATTCCAGTTTCCCTGAGAGCTATAATCTCCAGCTATTCAAATGTAATGTCAATCGACATCTCCAGTTGCCTTGATCTATCCACTACCCTTCTCCTCATCCTTCCTTCTATCACTTCTATCTGATCTTGCTCCAAATTTTCTGTAACCCCTTGCGTCCTAGTGGCTTCTCGCCTTGCTTAGGGTGCTTAAAAAATCACTTTTTGAAATGAACAGCATACCTGTATTTAGCAACCTTAAGTGACAGAGGAGTAAATAGCGGCTTGGATTGAGGAATCGAGGAGCCGAGTTCGAATTCCACTCGAATCCATTAAATTAACTTATGTGCTAATACCCTTGGAAAAGGTATGAATCCTCTTCTTACCCCCTCCGCCAGCTATGGGTAAATAGCAGGACAGACCAGGTTCTATAGCTTTTGATGGCAACTGGTCTACCGTAGAAAGAAATGGCAATCTTCTACGGGAAAAATCTGTCTCGTAATTCATATATCGAAAGATATATGATCGCTTAAGCGTGTATCACGCATGGCGCATAACTAACTGATCTTTGTCTGACATAAGGTCACCATTTTTGAGCAATAGAATCACTGCAGAAGCTATAAGATTAAATGGGATACGTCTCATGATTCATTGAACAACTGAGAACACGGGATATTCCGCTGATGTGGCTTTATCCAAGATATGTATATAGTGGCCCGTGCATAGACGAAATTGGCAAACCCTGTCTAATGTTCAGAACTTACACGACCCAAATTGAATTGAGGTGAATCTCGTGGGAATTTGTTTCAATTTTAATATAAGCTGAAAAAAGCATGATTAGTATGCAACCGTGAAAAGAGAGGACTTTTGGTACCCATACACGCCTTCTGCTCCCAGAGACAGTGCCGAGACATCGACATAGATGACCATATCCACCTGGGCTCTAGTCAGATCTATTTTTCATCTCCAGTTCGACGTCAAAAACGAGCATCTTGACGATTAGCCAGCAGTGGCTTGCAAATATTCACGCGTCGTTGAGCCTGGTCATTGGTCAATTCACGAGGAACTTCTCGACAGCTTCAGTTTGCCCGGCCAAGATTATAAACGTGCAGATTGATGGTGCTTTGTGAAGGACCAAGTTTTTCCGACAATGTGCGTTTGCTTGAGCTTGTCTGTTGGTCATCCATTTCAAGGAAGGCCTAATCTTCCACAACAGAAGTCCAGCTGGTATCTTTTCCAACTCTGAAGGTCGAGCTCTCTGCCTTCTCTGACTGTGTTCTCCTGCTTGTGTGTCATGATGCAGACTCCTTTTGCCAAACATATGGTCTTCCATCAGCCACCCTCTTGACCCAAGGAAACACTACCTCCTCAAGTCACTTGATGTAGGCCTCCGCTTTGAGTCTGAGACTCTGTGGGAAGATGAATGGGGGCATAACATCGCCGAATTCTCTGCACGGTCCTCAGATTGACACCCAAACACATTGAAACGGCGCAGATACCAAGCAGTACAGCGTGCCGTTTCTAAATTTTTGGCGGAGTGAATTGCGTCATGGTGCTCTTTTTCTTACAGACACTGCCCAACTGACCCTGATATACTATGTAGTCAACAAACTCAAAAAAACAACAACGCGCATGCGCGAAATTAAAAATATAAAATGGCGACAATTTACCCATTGTAAGCTGTATGGCTAACAAAACAGGTCCAGAAGGAAATAAATGGAGGCTAACGCGTTTAAAGTTAACAGGTTTTTACGAATTAATAAAAAAAATTAAAATAATCACAAATTAAAAAAAACAAACAAAAGAATAAAGAAATAAAAAATTAAAATTAAAGAATTTCAATAAACAATAAAAAATCAATTAAATTAATAAATATACTATATATATAATGATAATATAATAAGACTCATCAGACTCGATGAATTAATTAAATATAATTATCAAATCCTCCTAATAATTACTATCTGTGTATATCATCGCTTGAACCGGCTTCTAATGCTCTAGAGTGAGCGGCTTGGCCGGTTCAAGCGATGATATACACAGATCGTAATTATTAGGAGGATTTGATAATTATATTTAATTAATTCATCGAGTCTGATGAGTCTTATTATATTATCATTATATATTTGCAATCTCTTCGTCACCGAGTCCCGTTGGAACAGTTGGTATGATGTTTGCTTGACAACCTAACTGTCAGGGTTTCAATTCTCGATAGTTGATGCGCACTGATGATGAGTCCCATGTATAGAACAAAACGGCCGTTCAGTGCATTCTATTGAGGTTTCTATAAGACTCAATTAATTAAATATAGTATTATTATATTATGATAATTTAAATCTTCATATTAGAAAGCAGTAACTTTTAACATATATATTTACTTAAGATTTTTTATACAAATGCCTTCTCAATGTTAAATGCTTACGGCCATATTAGGTTGAAATATTGGTTCTCGTACGATTACTGAAATTAAGCAGCGTCTAGTCTTTGCGGGTAGTCTAATGGATAACGTCTTGGAATTGTTAATTGAAAATCCGCGTTCCAATTCCAGTTGGGTTCGTTATAGTCACTTACGCTTAAGAAGCACTGAGAAAGGGTATGAATCCATCTCTTCTCAATGACGGTAAAAGTATCCAATATATGACTGAATGTTTTTAGATGAGATGCTGTTATGCTCTAATGCTTTTGAAATAGAACAAATTTAAAATTTAGTTGACGTCAATATTTAACGTTATTTTTCATGCAATGTACTTAAAATTGTAAGTGTGAGATATGTTAATGAATATTCAATAGACTGCGAAACTCCAAGTTGGAAGGTTAAGTCACGTTTATATATATATGTTTATGTTCATATCTATCTATCTATCTATCATTTATTATTTATTCCTTATCTATCTATCTACCTATCATTTATTATTTATTCATTATCTATCTATCTATCTATCTATCTATTATTTATCTATCTATCTATTATTTATCTATCTATATCTATCTATCTATCTATATCTATCTATCTATCTATCTATCTATCTCATCTATCTATCTATCTATCTATCTATCTATCTATCTATCTATCTATTTATCTATCTATCTATCTATCTATCTATGATCTATTTATTTATTCTTATCTATCTATCTATCTATCTATCTATTATTTATTCCTTATTATCTATCTATCTATCTATCTATCTATCTATCTATTCTATCTATCTATCATTTATTATTTATTCCTTATCTATCTATCTACCTATCATTTATTATTTATTCATTATCTATCTATCTATCTATCTATTATTTATTCCTTATCTATCTATCTATCTATCTATTATTTATTCCTTATCTATCTATCTATCTATCTATCTATCTATCTATCTATCTATCTATCTATCTATCTATTATTTATTCCTTATCTATCTATCTATCTATCTATCTATCTATCTATCTATCTATCTATCTATGATCTACTGTCTATTCCTCATCTATCTATCTATCTATCTATCTATCTATCTATCTATGATCTACTGTCTATTCCTCATCTATCTTTCTATCTATCTATCTATCTATCTATCTATTTATCTATCTATCATTTATTGTCTATTCCTTATCTATCTGTGATTTACTGTCTATTCCTTATCTATCTATCTATCTATCTATCTATCTATCTATCTATCTATCTATCACAGTTTGTTCAAATCTATATGTGTCTGTTCAAAGCTATCTATCGATTTATCTGCAGGCACAGGATACATACAAGCGCGCATTCACAAACACAATCATATAGATATTAGAGTGTACGTATGTGTGTGTATGTGAGTGTGTGGTTAGACTGTAAGTCATATTCACATGACTATCTGAATACATACCCTGGGTACGTGCTTGTTTTCTTTCAAAGCAACAGGCAATGAAAAAACTTATCGTGATGACTTATACCTGTGATCAGATTTTTTTTTATCGTTCCCGCAACTTCGGTACGGTCAATGGCGGCGTCTTTTTCATCTCCTTTCAACTTAAAATATTCCGACGAACTCTATCGAAATGATTTATCACATTCGTCGCTATTCTGTTACGTGCCGAAAATGTTTCACTCGGACAAAAGTGTTCGGCTACGTCTTTGCTACATATATGATAGGCAATAATAGTTTGCCCCTTTTGTCACCGTGGGTATCACACTAGAAGAAAAAAATATTGAATTTGAAACACCAAAGATCCTTTTTCTAAATCCATGCAAATAAAATGATGTCTTTGTTGGCGTTATTTTATCTTCACGTTACGCTTTGTGCATTGTTCGCTTAACGCAGTGTTTCCCAACCTTTTTAAGCAGCGACACACCTAAGAGCAAATGAAAATATCACGACAGGATTAGGGTTAAGATTGTGTTTCTCAAGCTTCTTAAGCAACCTAGGGGCAAATGAAAATATCACGATAGGGTTAGTGTTAAGCCAATATTTCTCAACCTTTTAAAGCAACGGCAAACCTAGGGCCAAATGAAAATATCACGACAGGGTTAGGGTTAGATTTTAGGCAGTGTTTCTCAACCTTTTTAAGCAATGGCACACCTGGCGCAAATGAAAATATCACGGCACACTAAGCAAAATTTTTAAAAGGTATACATTTCAATGTCATGCAATAAAACCATCGACTTAAAAAAAACAAATACACACACAAATATGAACTTGCTTTATTTCAATGTTTCTATTCAACTATTTGTACCGCTTACATTCATTTACGTGCTAATACCCTTGGGAAAGGTATGAATCCTCTTCTTCCTCCCCCAGCTATGGGTAAATAGCAGGACAGACCGGGTCCTATAGCCTTGGATGGCAATTAGTCTACCGTAGAAAGAAATGGTAACCGGCTGCGGGAAAAAAATCTGCCCCGTCAGTCATGTATCGAAAGATACATAGTCGCCTAAGCGTGTATCACGCATGGCACTAAATTAAATTAGTATAAATTATTTAATGTGAAACCTATGCCTGGTAATTTTTTATTTTTTTTTGTGATTTCTTCAAAGTTTGGTTGAATGTGCTCTAAACAGACCCTCACTTCTTTATATTATTGTAATCTTTCTCGCTTCTTATTTTTGATGTTATTTAAGGTTAAGTAGCTTAATTCACAAAAATAAAAAAATTGAAATAAAACTGATATAGCCCTTTTAGCTAATGTGGGATATTCCTTTTGCATTAAAATCCAGAATATATCAATGGGTATCGTTGAATGTTTTATTTTGAGCCTTCGATCAATAGAAATGGTGGCCAATTCTTCTTTTTCGCATAAGTGAAGTTGAATATTGGAAGAGACATTTATGAAGGGACGTTGAATCCAATCACACTTCCGTGGCACAATTATGGGAGTCCTTAGTGTGCTGGGGCACGGATGTTGAGAATCACTCTTCTAGATGCTAGCCCTAAGGCGAATGGATCCGCTCCCAGGAAACATGCATAGTATATATAAACAAAGATATTAAGCCACAATTCACAATTGTTTTAATCAACGGCACACCTACGAGCAAATTAAAATATCACGGAACACTTAGCAAAATTTGTAAAAGATATACACTGAAATGTTAAGAAACACACATAAATATGAACTTACAGTATAGGAATGTTTCTATTTAACCATTTTTGAAGATTATTTAGTTTGAGAAGTCTGCCTGGTGTTTTTTCGCAATTTCTTCAATTGTATGGTCGAATGTGCGATAAGCAAAGCGTCATGTTTTCACCAATTCAGCGTCTTTTTCGCTTCTTATTTTTCAGCTTATTTAGGGTTGAGGAGCCTAATTGACATAATGAAGAAGAAAACTGCAATAAAACTGATAAAGCCTTTTTAGCTAATTATTCGAAAAATGTTTAATATTTAGTCATTTTTTCAAATACTAACGTAGTACCTTTAATACTCTCTCTCTCTCTCACACACACACACACACACACACACATATATATATATATATATATATATATATATTTCAGTTGGATAGATGTGAGTTTGTGACCCTGGGTTTTACGCTTTAGCGATCGTCAGACAAAAACCCAGGGTCAAACTCACATCTATCCAACCAAATATGTTAGTTCTATCGCTGATATTGAGCGCTTTTAATATATATATATATATATATATATATATATATATATATATATATATATATATATATATATATATATATATATATATATATATATATATATATATATATATATGAGGCACGGTGGAGTAGTGGTTAGCGGCTCGGATTGAGGAATCCAGTCGAATCCATTACATTCACTGACGTGCTAATACCCTTGGGAAAGGTACGATTCCTCTTCTTCTTCCCTCAGCAACTACAGCCTTGGATGGCAACTGGTCTATGAGAAGGGCAACTCTGAATTCAAAACCTATTTGGGGACCTTGTGGCACGTGGTGCACCAGGTCTCTGTATTCGGCTCTTTAAAAAGTGTAGTTGGTTCTGAAAACAAAAAAAAAATCTGGTTGGTTCTGCACAAAGCCTTCACCCCTATAATCAAATCAGATGTGCTGGTGTCTGGACTGTCGGTTCCTAGGAACTGAGTTGCTTGACCCTCATACGTCGAATACGACGGGAGAGTCCACTATACACACACACACACGCACGCACACATACACACACACACACACACACACATACACACACACACACACATATATATATATATGCCGTTACAATGTTTTGAGAATTTACTGGCCTAATGTCTCGTTAGTTCGCTAATTGTTTTCTATCTACCATTTTGCATTATTCTCTAGAGTTTAGTACCTGAGATAAAAATAAATAAGTATCGAAAATAAAAAAAAATATATGTATAATGTGTACGACGTATCTTCGATATCACATGGAGAGAAAAACTTACCAACATTGCTGTGGCGCATACATGTTCATCAAAGTCAGCGTCGTCTTCGAAGGCCCGGGTCACTTACATCGAATTTGTCAAAAGATGGCACGATTTGCTGACCTCGGGTGACCAACCGGCAGACCGTTCTGAAGCATGTTTCAATGACGTCTGCAAGAGGGAAGTGAAAATAAGTCATTCATTCAGGTAACCGGGAACAGCTAACAGAAGATCGCAGAGGATGGCGCTATACTGTCCAAGGAGTCCTAAAGAGTAAGAAAATTAAGAAACAACAGTTGTAGATCAGAAAACAATTCAGCAAGCAGAGAGAGCCATCACAGACCGTCATTCCTCATTTCAGTTTCGTCTGCCACACCTGAAAATGAGTGTGCTGTGCAAAGATTAGACTGTTAAACCACTCCAAGTATTGCTCACAAAAGGACTGAAATTTAATTGAGACTCTACACTTATATATATATATATATATATATATATATATATATATATATATAGTCATCCGTATACAAGACTGTTTCACTGTATCACAGCTCATCAGTGTGTCTGATGGCTTCAAGCCGGGATCGAAACTCGACTGATTTGGCATAAGCTGAAAAAGGGAATTTTTTAACGTATTATATACGGGATATATACAAGCAAAAGAAAAGAGAAAATATAAGTCTGTTTTTTTTTTGTTTTTTTTTTATACCCGGAGTTATATTTTCCGATTTCTTTTTGAATTTGTATGTCTGATGAATTGGATCGTGATTACGATTCCAATGTAATAAATTATAACCATGGAATATTAGGGTTTGGGCCTTTTCTATTATATTCTTGCTCTGTCTTGTACATTGAGTTCTATCTGGATTTTATCCTCTTGAAAAATATATATATATATATATATATATATATATATATATATATATATATAAAGGAATAACAATAACAGAATTGCTGATGGCTGCCGTTGATAGACCATTGTGGAGGAGATTAGAGAGGCTTCTGCATTCGGATCCCCCTACGATTACAAAAGTCAAAGGGGATGATGATGATGATGATGATGATGGTATATATATATATATATATATATATATATATATATATATATATATATATATATATGAAATTGGGTTTTAATCAAGCTTTCAGGACTTATAAACAAATGAATTAAATTATTTTACAAATGCTTCTTTTATAGAAAATCTTGGTGAAAAACATTTTTTGTATATCTGTTTTCCCCCATTTATTTAATGTATTAAATTTCGAGCAGTTCATTTTGTACAACTTAACCCTTTGAGTCCTGCGTTCCTGAACAATTTTAACCCTTCTGCCTGAGCTCCTGAGTTAAAATTCGTAAATAATTGGTATGTAATATTACACGCTAGATATAAAAATAGTTATAAGTGTTTACCCACCGTTCAATCGGTGGCTGGGCATTAAGTCATTTTTCTCTACCATCAGTAAACCGGCGGCTGGGTATTACGTCATTTCCATGGAAACCACTCTAAATGATTAACCCTTTGAGCCGTGCGTTCCTGAACAGTTTTTAACCTTCTACCCGACCTCCTGAGTCAAAATTCATAAATAATTGGTATGTAATGTTTCACGCTAGATATATAAAAAAAGTAGTTACAAAAGATATAACTTCCTGATTCTTTTTCCTAACTGTCCAGGTTGAGACGCTGCACGCTTCATGGGAAAAACGATCATTGTTATCCAAAACACATGCAAGAAACACAATGAAAAGGTGCGGACATGTTTGTATAACGTTCGATGACATCAGAATATTACGCCTTTCCTGATTGGCTCTTCAAAACAAGACAACCAATAGCAAAACACGACGCAAGTGATTATCCACCGTTCAACCGGTGGCTGGGCATTAAGTCATTTTTCTCTACCACCGTTCAACCAGTGGCTGGGTATTGTCATTTTTCTCTACCACTGTTCAACCGGTG